CTATAGCAAACTTTAAATTTTATCCGTATCTGAACGTTTTTTCTGATCGACATTGTATAGTCAATAATACTTATCAGAAATTCATAAATCATCTCATAATCATAGATATGAATAAATTGTTTCGATTGAGCGTATATAGAAGACACGTACTGCTATTGAACAAAACCACATCTTTATTTTTTTCCTTTTACGGGACAAACGGGACAAACAGGATTTTTCGGGATAATTCGAAAAAATTCGGGACGGGACAAACGGGATTCTGGACATAGAAAAGTTTGTCCCGCAGGTCTCTAAGCGCAATAGATTGTAACATGTTATTATTTTAAAATAAAAACCTGTTTTCAACTTTGTATATACTACTAATAATTCTTTTATATGTAGCAATTACCCTCTGGTGACCCATGCATGAGAAGAGGGTCTACAGAAAAATCATTGTTTTTAATCAATTACTTTTGAATAGATGTCACTTTCATGTTGAACTCTTCATATAATAAAATATTTTCTTTGATGACTATTCCACTGAAAATAAGAGATCAGTTTTCAGTAAAATAAAAAAATATAAATGTGAATAGAGTAAAAATGTTGAATAATGATTATTATTTTGATTGGTAAAAATAAATCGAATGATTGAATCGAATATTTTTCTCTTGTAAATGAAAGAAAGAAAGAAAGAAAGAATAAAATAAATATATATAAATGAATGAATGTTAGTTAGTCAGATGTGAAGTAAAAAAGAATTTGAACAAAGAAGAATGACTGAATTAGCTCGACAACGATGGCGTATGCTTGGCGAGGTTATTATTTTTTTTTATTTAAATAAAAAATCAAAATAATTAATTTGTAAAATAAAATCTTCAATAGATTCTTCTAAGTAAAAATCTTCAAACATCATGTGAACATGATGATATATCAATAATGCGTTTTAAAACATTTGGTTTATGTGTAAGAAGTTCATTAAAATCAAATGATCAAGATGATGGTACATGGTGTAAAATTGAATTTCCTTCATTTCAAGATAATCAATCAAATGTTATTTCATTAGATATTCGGTTAGTTTTATTTGATAAAAAAACAAAAAAAACTACATATCAATTTCTCAATTTCTCAATTTTATTTTATTTTTTTAAAGATTATGTTCAACAAAAATTGATTATGCAGATCTAATTGGTTTTAATAATACAGGAAATACTTGTATGTATTTATTGTTTATTGTAATAATTAATTATATAATAATTAATTAAATATAAGGTATATGGCCATCCGAAGAAGTTCTTGCTTTTTATTGTTTAAAAGAAAAAGAAATATTCGAGTAAAACTATAAATTTAATCTATATTAATAAAAATAACGAAAATAAAAAAAAAACTTTTTAGAAATAAAAGTGTTTGTGAACTTGGTGGTGGAATGACATGTTTAGCAGGACTTGCTGTAAGTATTTGCTTTTTGTTTTTTAAAATTTTTTTTGAATGAAAATTATTTAATCAAAATAATATTATTTGGCATGAAAAATAAAATTGTTGTTTTTGCATGTTGATTAATCTCAGTTGGCTCGATCAATTTCGCTCAATGAGCTTGTTGCTACAGATGGAAATGAAAAAAGCATTGCTAGTATTT